AAACATATATTTACATTTATAAATAGTGTAATGATACACTGAAATGGGTTTCATTTGTCATTTATGAATGTAAAGATATTCTTAAAAGCTGATTTTTAATCTACTTGACTATAATAGCTCCAAACTAAAGTTTCATATCATGTCCATCATCATTGTATCAGCACCTATAACACTGTAGCCTATATATGATAAGCTAATAACCTACACTTTAAAAAAAAGAATGGTTTATGACTATTCTTCCCATTTTTAAGCCAATGAGAGACTTCCCTGAATAAGGAGTACAAACTGCAAGATCTGGTTATCTGTCATAAAGAGGCTGTGCTCTTGTTAGCCATATAGGTATCTCACAGGTAATTACTAAAATGTATAATTTTAAAGTCAGATTTGAGTTACAGCAATGAAAAAAACATCAGTGCCTGATCCATTTTTTATATCTTTTTCCTCTCATTTCCTCTTTATGGATAAACACAATATTTAGCTGCCAACAGTGTAGCACAATTTGTTATACATTAATATATATAACAATCCAAAACCAGCTCTCCATTCTGCCAGCTGCCCCAGCATTGCTGGATCCCCCTGCTCCCACAAAGTCCCAGGGTGAAATTTTGTCAAAACTGTCACTGACTTCCATGGAGTCAAGATCCTCAGTGTATTCTGTGCAGAGCAACTTGAGTCCTTCCATAGTTGGTGCATCTTACTTATAAATCAAACTGCTTGACTAGAAAAAAATATTTCTATATTTTGAAAACTAATAAAAAATGTAAAAAATAAAAAAGGAGGGGTGGGAATGGGAAGCATTTCTATTCTTTTGATCATCTATCACTAAAGAGTCTGATGTGCTTTCTTCAAACTTTAATTTAAACAAATAAGCATTTTTCTTCTGATCTGTTTTATGGCAGATTCTGACCAGAATGTATTTTTTGTAGACTATGAAAACAGAAGTATTTAATGAAAATGCTGGAAGCCCTTTAACTACAGAGATGCAAATTGTGCTGGTGTAATTATAATTATGTTTTTTTCTGTAAGCTACTTTTATGGCAAGCTGAATTAAAAATGAAAATAAAATCTTTAAGGATCATATTTTACTTGCACTTGAGCTATAACAATGTACTTTCAAAACTTAGAAATAGAACAGCCACCAGAACACTCATTTTATTTGAGCAGTGATACTAGTTCCATTTGGTTCTAGTAACAATCTTTCTCTATTTACTTTACAATTGTTTTTGTCTGTTAAGTGTATGAATAATATTTTTTCTTAAATACCATCTCTAAATATCTCATTTAAGAAGAAAGTTAAAGAAGATTGTCTCTCAATTCATTTCATGTGAATGCTTATATCTGATGTGTGAACTATGACACTAGTTTATGGAGTCTCTGAAAGCAGTAAACTGTTATCCGAAGTGCTTTCTTTGTAAAAGTAATACTGTACCAGTAATACTGAGTAATTACTACAGTAATGAACAACTTTAATTATAATTATAAAAATTGTCTAGGGAAATATATATCTTGGAGGGTTGGGGTGAGGCTACAGCACATGATATATTGAAGCAAGTTTTTGTTTAGGTGGATCCCTTTTACATCAGCCACATGATTGTTATGTATTTTTCTATAAATAAATTATTACAAACACATTATATGAATAATTTCTTTTCCATTTTGCCATTTCTGTTTTTAAATGTTGACCTATTCCCCTCATAGAGTAATAAATATAATCTTCACATTATCTCATTCTTTGGATTTCTCAAAATCTACATGTATATATTTTCCAAGAACCAATACAGTAATTCACATAAAAGATACAATACGTAATGTGAAATAAGAAAAGTATTAATTCCAACAACTCAATATACTATGGAATGAAACCTCTGAGAACATACAGGATTATTATCTTATGGTAGTAATGGATTTATTGAGTTCAGTATCAATTATATGTGAATGGCTTGAGTATACTAGGGCCTATTTCTATGCAGCTGAGTAACATGGGTGAGACTGGTTGCTTAAAGTGTTCCAGGGTCAGCTCTTCATTTTGTGTTGGCCAGTTTCTGGAATACACAATTCCTGGAATTCACTTTTTTCAGCTTCTTTATGTGCTCCTTGAATGTCAGCATTTGGTCTGTGAACCCAAGGTACACCTGATGTTCATAGCAATCAAGGATTGTACCGTCCCATGATATCTGAAGTTTTCACATGGCCTGATAGTGTTTCAGGTGAATGGCACACACTTGTCTTTTTCTAGGAATAACATTCAAGAACCATGTGAGATAATATTTTCCAAGTACACTCAGGGAACCACTTAGAGTGCACTTAGAATGTCCTCCAATCTTTCTGACTGGGTGGTGATGCAAAGGTGATCTGCATAAATGAATCTTCACAAATCAGGGAATTCTGGTAGGTCATTTTTGTAGACATTAAACAGCAAGTGTGATGACACTGAACCTTGAGATAATCCATTTTGTTGAGTATGCCTTTGACTTTTCTGAACATCCATCTCAGCAAAAAAATATTGATTCTCAAGCAGGGAGGAGATGACCTGGACCATTTTGCTTTTTCTCAGAATTCTTGTCAATTTCAGTAGAAGTGAACAATGGTTCATGGTGTCATAAGCAGCTGGCAGATCAACAAAAACGAACCCTGTAATTTTGCAGATTGCGAAACTATCTTTGATGTTTTGAGATGGGTTGCAACTTAGCCCTAGACTTGGTCATCAGTCAGCCTCTCTTCCACTATTGGCTCTATTCTACACATCATAATCTGTGCATATAGCTTGTAGGTTGAGAAAAGGATACTGGGTGATAACTCTTTCCAGAGCTAAGGTCTTTATATGGTCTGATTAGTGCAATCATTTTGGCCTGTCTCCACAGCCCGAGGGTCTGTGTTGTCTCCATGCAAGAATTAAAGATGTCAAACAGCCAATTCTGTACTCTTATGACAAAATGCAGTAATCATTCATTAGATACACCATTGAGTCCAGTTGCTTTTCCATATTTCAGAGTTTTCATGGCTATTATAAGTGTCTTAGTGTTGAGTTGCTCATTGTGCACTTTGCTATCTGAGGAGTGGACAACATTCCTGCTTAACTTGTTTCTTTTCCTGTTTTACTTTGTGGCTGGCTTACCATTTAGGCTGAGTTAGTGTGCAACTTGTCTGTGAGAGACTGTGGCAATGAGTTTGGGGTTTTGTCCATGAGGGTTCAGCTTGCAAATGTTAGCCCAGGCTTTACAGCACAGGTTTGTTGTTGCAACCATCTCTCGGCAATGGCCACACTGATCCTTTCCATTCTCTCATATAAGCATGTTCCTCAGTCCAATGATTTCTTCACCAAACGGATCCAAGTCAAACAGTTCTGAATATTTTTTAGATTGTTTCTGGTCTGTTCTGAAAGCCCAGGTACAAATAATTTCCAGTGTCCCAGAGGGGTGTACTTTGGGGCAGTCTTCCACACCAGGGAGACAAATTCTCCATAATGCTCATGTGCCAGAGTAATATCACAGATGGATTAATCCAATTCAGAGGTAAAGGCATCCCAGTCGACCTTCCTGAAGCTGAATCTCAGCAGATACTTTGTTTTCCTGGGCTGTACTATAGCCTCTAATGGCACTTGCATTGGTCTATGCTTTGACCTTGGAATTGCTGCCATGACTTCCTTTTTGAAGTTGCCTGTATTTTGATGAATAACAAAGGGTACGTTGGGATTGTACTCTTTGTTCCATCGTGTGCTTTGGAAGGTATATTTGTCATTGAAATCACAGAGCAAGATCAAGTTGTTTGTCGCTGCCCACTTCTCAAATTCTTCCTTATTATTGTCATTGTTGGGTGTTGTGACTATTGAAGTCCCCTATGACAAGGCATGGTTTTTCTGACAGGAGAAAGTTGGCTGGCCATGCAAACTGTTCAGCTGATGGCTTGTAAACAGAAACTACTGCGATTTGATCAATTCCATTGTACCACAGTGTTTCGCAGTAGTGGTTTTCCCCTGTCTTTTGTCTGGTCAGGGCCGGCTCCAGGCACCAGCCCACCAAGCTTGTGCTTGGGGCGGCACCTGGAGGGGGGGGGGAGGGCGGCCGGAGCCCCCGGGGGAGGGCGGTGGCTTTTTTGCCTGGGGCGGCAAAAAAGCCAGAGCCGGCCCTGTGTCTGGTACAAGTATTGTGCTGCCACAGATGTTGCTTTTTACGTTCACAGAAATATACATTCCAGGGATGTTTGGGGCTGTTGTCTCTCTCTGTGTTTCTTGCAAGCATGATATATGCTTTTATACCAGACAGAACATCAGCCTTCTCTGCAAAGAATCCTTCCACGTTGAAACTGATGACTTTAGGTGTCCTTTATGATGACATCTATGTCTATTTCTACTGTGTTCTCAGTGCATGTTGTCAGATTTGGTGTCTCCCATGGTTAGTTGCAATCAGAGAGTGACAGGGGTCATGATATAGATAGATAGATAGATAGATAGATATTTCCTTAACTGTTGCACAACCTAGTCATCATCAGCTGGCTGATTTTTGTAGGTTTTGTAGGACGGAAGGAGCAATTTGAAGGAAGGCAAGCAATGTTTTTAATGGATTAGTTCCATACATCAGAGGCAGTATGGAAGAAAGCATTAGCTTACATAGGAAATATTAACAAACCAAAAAATAAAAATTGTCTACACTTAAGGCCAAGTCTGATCCCACTGAGGTAAACAGAAAAACTTCCATTGACCTCAGTGGGACCAAGTTTTGGCCTTTAATCAGCATAAAATGCATTAAAAATTAAATTGTTAATGCTAAAATAATAATATAATTTTCAATTGAAACACCTTACATATTTCACTAATTTGTCGTGGTGACAAATGACTGACAACAGATGTGATTAGTTAGATTATTTGTTTAACTTAACATTTCTCTCCCTGACCCTTTTACATTTTCTGGATCATTTTTAACAATTACACAATCTTATTTGTCCCCCTGTCAAGAAACATTAGAACTAAAACTGCACAGATAAAGAAAATAAAAGTTCTCTACCTTTTCCAAGACTGAACAAGCAAATGTCACCGGATTAGAAATGTTCCTGATGCAGGAGACTGCGCCAGCAGCGAGAGTTTTACCATTCATGATGATTGCATCAAGTTCCACATAACCATCAGCATTCAGTACAGCACCATGACCTGCAGGAAACCATTCCATTTGTAAAAGGTCAAACATTCTTAGCCTTAAGCTTTTGAAATGAAGCAGAGAAAACAATTTCAGAGCTATTTACTACCCTGTTCTCTGACAGCTTTTGTCCTGGCTTCCTGTAAGAGATATTTGCTTTTATAGTCACAATCCTTTAAGTAAATATGATGCTTGTGGCTACAAAAAAGCATTTGATTGTTTTCTTTGAGTCATAAAGCTTTTATCTTGTTTCTAAAATCATAAAGCCTGCTAGGCATTGCATTTTTCCAGTGGTATTGACTGATGTCCCTTCTCAACATTTTAGGTAATCAGATAAGAGTATAGATGATCATAGAGCTCTAGTAATGTAGGAAGATATTTATTATACATGAAATATGTTTACTACTGAGGTAGACATGACTATTTTAGAGACAAGGCAAAACTGATTACTATTGTCAAGTTTCAACACTTTGCATTTCTAATATGCTTCTAAGCTATCTGCTTTTGGGGCATTTGAAAGAGTACATTCAGAGCCCCTTCAGAGCATTGTTTAAACATAGAACTACACACATAATCATTATCAAACAGGCTATTATGGCTGCGAAGAATTCTATCCAAATAGGAAAAAGAAAGATGCAAAATCAGGGTAAAGCAAAATGAACAGTAAAATGGTGCCTTACTAAAATTCCCACAAAGATGATATTAGTAAATGAAAAAAAGTACTGTATAGTGAGGGAGGAATTAAAGAGATTATTATTTTCAAGTGAGCCATAACCTTTAACATGTGTAGTGATTTTGGTCAATCTAGGCAGCAGTGGGCATTTTTTCCATGTTGGAAATCCATGGCACAATTGTTAGTCTTTGGTTATGGCAAGCCTGGATTGGAATGTCAAGATTTTTTTTATTTATTTATTTATTAGAGAGAAAAGGTGTGCGAGTTAATATCTTTTACTGGACCAATTTCTGTTGGTGAGAAAGACAAGCTTCCAAGCTTACACAGAGCTCTTCTTAAGGTCTGGGAAACAATCACTTTCCCAGTATGTTTGTGTCTCTCACCAACAGAGGTTGGTCTAACAAAAGATATCACTTCACCCACCTTATCTCTCTAATATCATGGGACTGACATGGCTACAACACCACTGCATACACAATTTTTTCTTTTTGTCAGAACTGAGGCGTACTGGCAGGATATGCTGGCAAAGCTTGCATGGAAGATATACACAATATGCCATATGGCTACACTATCAGTCACTTGGATAAGCACTCAAATTCACCACCAAAATTATTACAAATCTGAAACAACTTCTAGACTATCCAGCAACACTTTTCTTTCAAACATTCCCACTAATGTTTCTCATTGCTCTCCTTTGAAAGCATCCCTAAAGCACCATCAGGTTTATGACTCTATAAATCTGTGAAAAGGCTTATAGTGAAATAACGGTCATCTGCTTCTAAATTAAAATAGTATCATAACACTAGGGGCTGGTATCTATAAACTTGTAACTCCTATAAGTAAAACATTAAATGGAGAAACAAATCCTTCCTAGCCTTGATGTATATGACATAGCTGGGCAGTTAAGCAAAGGACTTCAGTGTAACAACAAGGGAAAAATAAAATCTTAAAGTTAAGGAAGAAGTACAAATGAAGCTGTTTATTTGTGTTATTGATATTCTATCTATGTTCATGATAGCCAAGCACTTTACAGACATTAAAATCAACATCTGTCTAGCAATTAGCACAAACCAGCCACCTATCTTATCGATGGGATACCCTTGGGCTGAGGGCACAAATTAAGAAAAAGCCGAGTGAACAAATCTTGACTTGTATCCTTAAAAATAATAATCACCAAACTTGGACTTGGGCAGAATGCATGAGGGAGGAAATTCCAGTGCTCAAGTTGTTCCAATGAGAGGGCCTAAATCCCTGAGCCATGGGGTCCAACCCTACGGACAGAGAGCATAAACTTCGGGATGGAATGCAACTCCCACAGTAGGAAGAAGTAAACTCTGAAGCCCTAATTCAGAAAACCACACTCATGCTAAAAAGTGTTTCAAGAAACCAAATGGCACCACTCTTTGTGGGTGAAAATTGGGGAAGGAGCTTAAAATAGCCAGGTCCACAATGCTCTATAAACTTCTGAATGCTAACCCACCTTGAATAGAGCTGGTCAAGAATTTTCCAGCAGAACAGTTTTGTGTTGGGAAATGCTGATTTGCTGAATCAAACTTTCTATCAATTAGATTCTGTAAAAACTTTTGATTGAAACCCAGCAGGTAGGCTAGCCAGTTTCCTGCCAGTCCTCCCAGCTGCCCAGCTCCTTGCCTGGCAGGCCTCTAGACTACTAGGTTCCCCAGACTACCTGGGAAGCTGGCTCACAGGCTGGACAGCTCCCTAGCTGTCTGCCTGCAGGTTGGTCGGTTGCCCAGCCCAGTCAGTGGTGGCTACCTACCTGGCCAGTTGCCTAAATGGCCAGAATTCCTGGGTTGCAGGCTTTCTAGCTGTCCTGTTTCCTTAGTAGTACTTACTCAGCTAGCCAACTCCCTGGGCTTCCTGGCTTCCCAGGCAGCAGGATCCCTTGGCTGCCTGCTTAACAGGCAGGCAAGTTGCCAGATGGTGAGCTGACCAGGTAGACAAGGAGCTGGCTGCTGAAACTGACTTTTTAAAACATGACATTCCAAATGTAAATTTTTTCACAGGATGAAAACTCTGGTCCCCACATACTTCTAACGATGTGCTGGAGCTGGATACAGATTGTTGCCTTGTGTCCCAAACTATGGTCTACATACAGCAGCCAGGATTCACAATGGTCTCCAAAAGCCATGTCAGAGTTGTGACTATTCCAGGCATTCTCACCTCTTCCACCTTTTTTAAACCATCTTCACTTTGGTAGATTTATTTGTATTGTTAACTTTGTATTGAATAATGAGCACATGGAATGGAAGAAACTGGGGACAGGGTGGTGGTCTCCAGTCAACTCAAGCCACTTTGGAAATGTTTACACTGCACTGTAAACATAGGTCTGTGGGACCGGGCTTGTGGACTCATGTTTCCAAGCCCACACCTGAGTATCCATGCTGCATTGCAAATCTGGACTTACAATTGCTGGATCCAGGTCTCACAACTATGCCAAAGCATTCATGCTGCACTACACTCACTTTCTGACTCAGGTCTGCAGCTAGATCTGTGTCCACACTGCAAAATTATAAGACTTGCATTCAAGTCACAGAGGGACTTGGGGCTCTGACCTATCCCCCAAGCAGGATCCTAAGACAAAGGTCCTGCATGCATGATGATTGAAATCATAGTCATATGTGTGTGGCTAGAAGGGGGATTTGAGATCAAACCTGAGTAAGAGCTTGGGCTTAGTGTGCAATGTAGACATACCCTTTGACCCACAGAGCCAGTGCAAAGTGGACAGACTCTGCCTGAAGGCTACCAGCAATGAATTCCCCATGCATAGATGAACTCTCCACTGGTATAAAGCTTGTGGAGGTAGAACAGCTGCCTCTTGTATCAGCTGCTGTAACTATTGCCAAGGCTATGTGGTGCAGGTTTGTGGAGATACACTCTTCCCACTCCCAAGATCTGAGCAGAGCTCTGCACTTAGGATGAATTCAGTCTCATGGAAAACTAGGGAAAAGAGTTGGTGGAGAACCACAAAAAGAAGGAGAACCACAAAGAGAAGGAGATGATTTTTGGCTTTTCTAACTAGGACTCCTTCTTATCATCCATCTTGACCTTGGTGTGACCTTACTTTTAAAACTGTTAAGCATGACATGCCCAATCTGGCATTGTTTGCTGAACTTCTCAGGCATTTAGCTGTTCTAGTTTCATTTCTACCTCTGCAGCTACTGTTGGTTCTTGCTTAGAGGAGAGGAAAGTGATCAGGAACAGTCAGCATGGATTCACCAAGGGCAAGTCATGCCTGACTAACCTAATTGCCTACTATGAGGAGATAACTGGCTCTGTGGATGAGGGGAAAGCAGTGGATGTGTTATTCCTTGATTTTAGCAAAGCTTTCGATACGGTCTCCCACAGTATTCTTGCCGGCAAGTTAAAGAAGTATGGGCTGGATGAATGGACTATAAGGTGGATAGAAAGCTGGCTAGATCGTCGGGCTCAACGGGTAGTTATCAATGCCTCCATGTCTAGTTGGCAGCCGATATCAAGCAGAGTGCCCCAAGGGTTGGTCCTGGGGCTGGTTTTGTTCAAGATTTTCATTAATGCTCTGGAGGATGGCATGGACTGCACTCTCAGCAAGTTTGCAGATGACACTAAACTGGGATATGCTGGAGGGTAGGGATAGGATACAAAGGGAGCTAAACAAATTAGAGAATTGGGCCAAAAGAAACCTGATGAGGTTCAACAAGGACAAGAACAGAGTCCTGCACTTAGGGACAGAAGAATCCCATGCACTGTTACAGGCTAGGGACTGAATGGCTAGGCACTAGTTCTGCAGAAAAGGACCTAGGGGTTACAGTGGATGAGAAGCTGGATATGAGTCGACAGTGTGCCCTTGTTGCCAAGAAGGCTAACGGCATTTTGGGCTGTATAAGTAGGAGCATGGACATGATCGTTCCCCTCTATTCGACATTGGTGAGGCCTCATCTGGGGTACTGTGTCCAGTTTTGGTCCCCACACTACAAGAAGGATATGGAAAAATTGGAAAGAGTCCAGCGGAGAGCAACAAAAATGGTTAGGGGGCTGGAACACATGACTTATGAAGAGAGGCTGAGGGAACTGGGATTATTTAGTCTGCAGAAGAGAAGAATGAGGGGGGATTTGATAGCTGCTTTCAACTACCTGAAAGGGGGTTCCAAAGCGGATGGATCTAGACTATTCTCAGTGGTACCAGATGACAGAACAAGGAGCAATGGGGGAGGTTTAGGTTGGATATTAGGAAAAACTTTTTCACTAGGAGGGTGGTGAAGGACTGGAATGGGTTACCTAGGGAGGTGGTGTAATCTCCTTCCTTAGAGGTTTTTAAGGTCAGGCTTGATGAAAAAAAGCCCT